TCCAACTATTCACTACTGGTGGTCTTTAAGCTCATTATTAAGTGCAATTATAGCTCTGGGATAAAAACTATTCAGAAAATGTGAGGGCTGAGTCTTAATTGTTCTATATCTTCTGCCAGACTGCAACAGTTCAAAAATGTTGTATGAAATATGAAAGAAATACAAGCCAAATCGGGATTGCAGGTCACATAAAAAACCTTATACTGTAAAGTGATGTGTGAAGAATGTTTTTCAGTCTGTGGCTCCCTTCAAATTAGCCGTGGCCACCACACGAGAATTACTGCTCTAGTCCAAGATACCAATAGGAACACAATGCTAAATCAGTTATTTATTTTCTACCCTAACCTTCTTCCTGGAGAAATACTCAAGATGGTTTACACAAATATTAAAACAAATACAAAATATCAAAAACACAAAGAGAAAATTAAGCATACTGATTATTAAAAAAAATAAAAACCCTGTGAAAACCAGTTAAAACACATTTTATAAAGCTAGATGAACAATCATCTCCTTAAAAATACCTTCTGCAGCACTGTGGTAATTTTACATTTTAAAAGACTGTCTAAAAAGAAGGGGTTTTCCTGCTGGCAGAAGGACAGACGGGAGGGGGGCCAGTTTGCTGTCCTGTGGAAGGGAGTTCCACACCCTGGGGAGCAGCCATTAAAAAAGCATTCTTCAGTGTCCATACCAAGCATGTTTGCGAGGGTGATGGGACTGAGAGAAAAGCCTCCGTCAGAGATCTTAAAGACCTGGGAGACAGACAACTTTCCAACCTATATATAAAGAAATCCAATTAAAGATACTCCACTATCTTTCAAAGTAGTCTGGTCCACAGATGAATAGCTATTATCTATATGTTTTGCCTGCAGTTTAATCAAAATCACATTTCTTCTAATCTTCTAATCTTGAGTCCCCAGATTTGTCTGTGAAAGAGCACCTGCAGCTAGTTACCAGAAAATTCCACTAAATGGAGGAGTGAGATACCAATTAGCAATTACCAAGTGTCTCTTTCTGCTTTCCAATGTATTAAAATGGTCTCATAATTTCATTAGGATCAGTGGCAGTGATTTTCAGTCATTAAAGGAGCCCCTCCTCCATCCTGAGGTTCTCAAAGGCTTTTCCGGGTTGAAAGGGATCCCTAGAGAGCCCTAGCACCTTGGAGTAAGATAGGAAACTTTAAAATAAATATTAACACCCACAGCTGATGATATCAACAAGATTTACACACAGACAGTTGCACAAGAGGATTTCAGCCAATCAGTGTTAAACCAGTGGTTATCAGAGTGCCCACAGAAATATTGGTGGGGCTTTGTATTCATGCCCAGTGTAGAATTAAGGGAATGCTCTCCAATCAGTTCTTATCTGGCATGAGGATTCATGCACAGTAGCTTGGCAGCATTAGGGACATTTCTCTTGTTTGTTTGTTTGTTTGTTTGTTTGTTTGTTTGTTTGTTTGTTTGTTATTTATTTATTTATTTATTTATTTCCCACCCATCTGGTATATTCTACCACTCTGGGCAGCTTACAGAATAATGACACTTCTTCACTTTTACCTAACCTTATAATTCTACCACCATCACATACCATTAAACTAGTTTCTGTTGTAGAGTTTTGAATGTCTAGCAAAATTGCCTTTCATCACACAGTATAAATAAAAAAGCTCAAAGAACAGGATAGCTACAAGTTCCCAGAGCCTATTCCTTTGTCATTAACCAGCACTTAAAGCCCCAGTAACTCCCTCAGGGCCATTTGCAAGAGAAACAGTAAGAATGCAAATAGGTGAGAATTTTGGTGATCTCATGAGTGTGAAGAACCTTGGGCTCTCAATGCCAGGGCTCCTTATATGCAACTTTAGTGGAAACCTTTCCTGATCCCTGTTTAAATCTCTTCTGTTTTGGCATTCATGTGCTTCAATCAAATGATAGGAAACATAGAAAAGGGGCAGCTGGAGAGAGGTCTTCCTGTGCCAATTAATGTTCAAGTTACCTCACAAACTAAAGGAATAATCACAAAGAGATGATGATGATTACTCCAATTTCCCTATCTGTAGGGCATGGATTATTGCCAAATGGAGGACACTGTAGCATTTTTGCACACTTTAGGAGGAAGCTTATCAACAGTGATGGCTAATTAGAGTTAGATTCCTTGATATTGAACAATATGGTTTTATTCAGCTTCTGTATCACAGCTGAGAGTGTTGTATGGAAACAATTCAAGAATGCAGAGGATGACTTCACAGTCTTCATAGACAGCATTTCTATTTCCCTTCTATTTTGCCTTGACTAGGCAGATTTCAAGCTCACCAGCTTTCATACACACAAATTGCCTGTGCTC